CTTACCTCCTGCCCAGAACTAGCACCCCCACCCTGCACCCCAGCAGTCACCTCTTGCACACTGAACCCCCTAATTTTTGGCTTTACACCAGAACACTAGGGTGAGGGCACAAAATCTGCTTGTCCCAGGCCCTCAAAAGAGTTAGTCCAGCCCCAGGAAGAGCCCAGAGCTTCAGACCCTCTTTCCTGCAGAGCTGGAGGACAAGGAGAACCCTGAGTTGCAAGAGTGAGGGGAGTCTTTTTTCCTGCTTCTCTTGGGGGCCACCTCAGTGATGGATTTTTACCCCCTCCTCACATGTGTGTGCCCTCCAATTGATTTTTCTGTGGGCCAGTGGTCCCTGACCCAAAAAAGGTTCAGAGATCCTCAGAGGACAAGAAGCAATAGGCATAAACTGCACCAAAGCAAATGTAGGCTGGACATTCGGAAAAAAAATTCTGAGGGTGCCCTTCAGACATACACTTCTGTGACAATTTCTCTAGGAAATCCTGCTTGGTAAAAATGGTGAATAAGGCAGTGGCTACCATCTCAGCTTTGGTATTAGCTAATACTGTGGCTTCAGGGTACCCTGGTGGATTCTGCCAAGTATATATTTCTTGTCAGTGCTGAAAGGTTTTGTGAGGGGTATTACGACACCAAGGCTGTGTCCAGACTCAGGGTTTTTTTCAAAAAAAGTAGCCTTTTCTCGAAAAAACTTCACCTGCGTCTAGACTAGAGCCGCGTTCTTTCAAAATTAAATTGAAAGAACGCGGCTTTTCTTTCGACGGCGGTAAACCTCATTTCACGAGGAAGAACGCCTTTTTTCGAAAGTGCTCTTTCGAAAAAAGGCGTTCTTGAATGCCAACAGGGCTTTTTAGAAAGAGAGCATCCAGACTCACTCGCTGCTTTCTTTCGAAAATGGCTTGCTTTTTCGAAAGTTCCGCTTGCAGTCTAGACGCTCTTTTTCGAAAGAGGCTTGCAGTCTAGACATAGCCCCTACAGACACTCAGACAGGGCTGAAAGTAGATGCTGGGACTTACCAGTGTGCCCTGAACCAGGCCGTGCCTTGGGCAGAAAGGGAAAGGCTGGGGCAGAACCCTTCCTTTCCCCCACCAATGTTTTATGGCCAGCAGCTGGGAGTCCAGAACTCCAGAGGGAATTTGAAAGACCCAAGGCTCCCAGCTGCAGTGGCATTCCCTATGCCCCGCCCATTTCTAGTCCTCCCTGTTGACTCATCTATTTTATCTGTGGACCAGAGGAACACTCTCTTGCCTGCAGGTTATAACATTTACCTGTTTAGATATGGCTACAATGTTACTACCTATTAAAATATCAGTAGGAAACAAACTCCTGAAGCTACAACAATCTGACCCTTAAAACCTTTCTGCTCCAGATAGATCTTAGCCAGAGCACAGCCACAGAGAACTCAAAGCTAACTCTTACATCGAGTTTTGTCTTCCTCTCACTAAACTCTTCTTAACTAAAGTGACTTGGGGATACCGTCCCCCTCCCAGACTTATAATCTATGACATTTACCTTAGCATCTTTAATACATTTTTCACTACATCTCCCAGACTCAGTCCTAACATTGCTCACTGGCTCTTCTTCCTTCTCTACTGCTGTCCCCAGGGCATCAGTTGTGGCACTAAAACAGAGGGTTAGAAGTGCAAAAGGTGGGATGATCTTGAGTTTTGGGTAACTTGGTATTATATGGCTGGTGGGGCAAGGCACCTCCTCCACCTTACCAGGCTCAGTGCTTTGCTTCCCTGATGGTGGAGGGGAAGGCATAGAGTAAAATCAGCCCCACTCTGCATGGTGTTTATTTTACCAGTTGGGGTTTATTGTCAATATTTTCCAGATATGCCCAGGGAAGGCCCAAGGAAAACTCCTCTACACATAAAAGAAACACATTTATAACACAAAACAAGTGGATACTTTTTACTAACCCCTCTCTGGGGGTGAGGTGGTCTAACTGTTTGTCCCAAAGTGCTGGTCCTTCCCCAAGAAGGGATATTAGGTAGCTTCCCCTGTAGGAAGGAGAGCAACCTCCTACCCTGAAGAAGTCTTTCTCCTGACTCCCACCAGCTCTGCAGCAGCTAGTCTCTCATCTTCTCTCAAGAGGAGGTGTTTTTAAAGGTCTCAGGCAGCCCTTAACTGGACCCAGGTGTCCCTAGCTGAGCAGAGGTAATCTCTATTCAGCTTATAGGGAAAAGAGCTTTTATCATTCTAGGGCTAGTATACCTGCATTCCACTGCTCTTTGTAGATGCTCAGCCTGATTTCAACACACCGGAGTCTGCAGCGTGGCAGACTGCCTTAGGGTATTGGGCCTTAACATCTAGGATCCCTTGAGTTTTTTATTAAAGTTGGTGTTAGGTTAAGGGAGAAGAAGAGTCTAGAAATACATCTGAGGGGCCAGGGAGATTTCCCTTCACTTGGGATTTTCTCCCCACACTCCCCTTAAATTTTGTAGAGATAGCTACAAATCTAGAACAGAGCTTTGGGCATAAGTTTTGACCTGTCAGCATGGAAAGGAATTGGCGGGGCATGAATTCCCTCTGCCCTACATGCAGACTGGTATGGCTGAAGCTCTGACCAGCCCAAGAAGAATGTGAGCACCAGAGAATGATGGTGGAATTGCAGATAAAGGAAAAGAAAAACCTAGGAGGTAGAGGAGAAAGCTCATTGAAGAATGCATGGAGCTAGAAGTGGAGGAGAGCACACACTAAGAATGTTAAGAGGTGGGTAATCCACGAATAGTGTAGTCAATAAAATTTTTATCAGCTACACAGTCAATAAGAGAAGGTTTCCTGGCTCGCGCCGGGTCCAGGAGCTACCCTTGCTGTGCCTCTGCAGTTTAAATGTATAAAGAGCTGGGATGTCTGTGCTCTGATACAGAGACAGCAAGTAGGGTGGGGGGGAAGCGAGCAGACTTCTTGACTACTCGCTTACATCCCTAACACACACCAAAAATAGATGGAAGCTTGCACATTACAACTCAAAATAGTGGAGCAGCAAAATACCTTGGGCTAGTGGGTATACCCTACACAGGGAGAAAGCCTGACTAATTTATCAAGAAACTGACTGTATAGAGTTCCTGCCCATCTCTGAGACACTGTATGGTATCCACAAGGTTCAAGAGGATAAGTGGATATCAATCCTCTTGATCAGATTAACTAACTGAAAAGTCAAGATGAGTTTTAAATCATACAGGAGGGTGATGCTAAGATGCATATAAAGAAAAAGTATTGAAAAGGTTTAAGATCACACCTGTGTCCTATTGCTTTGAAGTTTAGAAATCTTAAAGTATTTGACAGTATCACCTATATCGAATATGCACATAAAATGTGTAATTTTATTTTAAAAAATGGATAATAGGGTCAGGGTTGAAGGTGACTATGAAAAACTGATCTGATGGTGCAGGAGAAGTTATTATGGGTAGTTACAGAGGAGGTGAAGACAGCCCTTCGAGACAACCTTCCACAGTTTTGGAACCTGCTGATGAATTCCTGATATGTTGAGTCAAGGGTAGGGATGTTAATGGTTAACTGGTAAGCCTCACCCTGAGCCAGGGCGAGGCTTACCAATTATGGTGGCAGCTGGAGTAGCCCCTCATCCTTCACAGACAAGGAGCTGCTCCAGTCCCAGGGGGCCTGCCACTGGCAGGGGGGATCCCAGCCTGCCCTGTTTAATTGGTTAACTAATTAAATGGGATTTTACATCCCTAGTCAAAGGTTGGGAGGAGGCAAAGTATAGGTGATCTGATCAGGCTTCCAGCTATGAACTTGTCAATATTCAGATGACACCTATACACTTGACACGAGCTGGTCCCTAGTTTGCTAGCATTGCAGGGCACACTGGCTGAATGAAGACCAAGTTGAAACTGCCTAACTAACTTTCACTTTGGGCTGTAAATTTCACTGTAAATCTTCAGAAATGAAAAGCTATTCTACCAACTCAACACACAGGAGCCCAGGGCAGTAACAAGAACTCTCAGTAGAACTCTGTCTGACCCTCTACCCATCACTCACACAGATGCAGAAGCAGGCAATCCCTCTGGTGGCTGCTAGATGGCGCTGCAACCTTGCACTTTCCCAGTCTTCAGATTATCCAATCGCATCAATCCCAATTACATCGGATATGGGGCTCTGCTGTATTTCTTTTTTCGCATGATCATTCCTACTTCTCAAAGTAAACTGTGAGATGAGCTAATCTGCACTTGCTGTAAAATGTATCGGGCTAACATTTATGTATAACTAATTTAGTCTGCCTTTTCTTTTTTCATCTTGGCATTCTATTGAGAAGTGATTTCCCACAGCTAGAAAGGTGATCATTGCAAAACAGAAATCCACTCATCCTAAAAATTTAGGGTCAACTCTCTATAGGACTAGAGGGCTTCTCAAGGACCTAATCATTAAGGCTACGTCTACACTGTGGGTGTTTTACGGAAGAGGAAATGCAAATGCAGCATTCATTTGCATATCTTCTGATCTTTTTTGCGGAAGAGGTTTTTGTGATAAAAAGCCCTGTGTAGACAGACCATTTGTCAGAAGAAACACTTTTGCGCAAGAGCCTGTAAATCTCATTTTTTGAGGAATAAGGGATCTTGCGCAAAATGTTTTTTTTCCCGACAAATGGCCCCGTCTACACAGGGCTTTTAATCACAAAAACCTCTTCTGCAAAAATCATGGGAAGATATGCAAATAATAGTGAGATATGCAAATGAGCATTCCATTTGCATTTCCTCTTCCGCAAAACACCCACAGTGTAGACGTAGCCTAAAAGTGGTGTTTAATGTTCAACTCCTTTCTTCTCTTCATTCTTGGCAGCTCCTACTGTGGCATTTCACTTTTGTCTCCTTTCAAAGCCAAAATAGATGCAATTATACAGCTGGAACAACAATTCAGTACTGAGTCTTGATTTCTAAGCTGCTAGTTCAGTCAATTTACTGCTGGTCACAGCACTGGAGCAGTACAGTGCTTTTCTTAGGGGGAAAATGCTGGTACCAGCAACCGAAAATACTTACTTTCTTCATCAATTTTTAGTTCTTCATTGTTTTTTATCTTCTCTGCAACCTCTTTTTCATTAAAGCCCTTGCTTGCCAAAAACTTTATTTTATACTCATCCCAGGATACGTGACCTGAAAGACAGAGTCATATCTCAGATGTGACAAATTATAACACTTCAATATCCAATTTTGGTCTTGTTTCCTTTGAAATCATTTGTGAAATCACATCTCACATCTGCAAGAGCCACATCCATTCACATTTACTAATAACTATCCAACACCTGTGCATAACTATGAACAGGGATGTGGCAATAACACCTCCCAACCACTCCTCAAAGTTGGCTAAGTTTCCTTTCCACAAAGGTAAGGCCTGAGATATTCCTATGATTGTCCACGTCAACTGTCAAAATTATATCTTTGCTCCTAAACAGGAGCTCAAATGTATTACCATAACATAAGAACGGCTATACTGGGTCAGACCAAAGGGCCATCCAGCCCAGTATCCTTTGTGCCAACAGGGGCCAATGCCAGGTGCCCCAGAGGAAGTCAACCGAAGAGGTAATGATCAAGCAATCTCTCTCCTGCCATCCATCTCCACCCTCTGACAAACAGAGGCTAGGGACACCATTCCTTACCCATCCTGGCTAATAGCCATTAATGGACCTAATCTCCATGAATTTATCTAGTTCTTTTTTAAACCCTGTCAAAGTCCTAGCCTTCACAACCTCCTCAGGCAAGGAGTTCCACAGGTTGACTGCGCTGTGTGAAGAATTTCCTTTTATTTGTTTTAAACCTGCTGCCTGTTAATTTTATTTGGTGGAATTAATATATGTTTTTATATTAAGTTCTTATATTATGGGAACAAGTAAATAACTTTTCCTTGTTCACTTTCTCCACACCACTTATGATTTTATAGACCTCTATTATATCCCCCCTTAGTCTCCTCTTTTCCAAGCTGAAAAATCCTAGTTTCTCTAATCACTCCTCAGATGGGACCCGTTCCAAACACTAATCATTTTAGTTGCCCTTTTCTGGACCTTTTCTAATGCCAGTATATCTTTTTTGAGATGAGAAGACCACATCTGTACGCAGTATACAAGATGTGGGTGTGCCATGGTTTTATATAAGGGCAATAAGATATTCTCTGTCTTATTCTCTATCCCTTTTTTAATGATTCCTAACATGCTGTTTGCTTTTTTGACTGCCGCTGCACACTGAGTGGACGTCTCCAGAGAACTATCCACGATGACTCCAAGATCTCTTTCCTGATTACTTGTAGCTAAATTAGCCCCCATCATGTTGTATGTAGAGTTGGGGCTATTTTTTCCAATGTGCATTCTTTACATTTATCCACATTAAATTTCATTTGCCATTTTGTTGCCTAATCACTTAGTTTTGTGAGATCTTTCTTCACAGTCTGCTTTGGCAAGGGCAGAATTTGGTCCCTATATTATTTTTAATGAGCAGGGCAACCTAAGAATTCAATCTGACTGAATGACAACTAGGGATGTAAGAATGCATTTAAAAAGATAACCATATAACTCAGGGGTACGCAAAAGGACCTCCGCGGGATGGATCCGGTCCGCCAAGTGGCTTGATCCGGCCAGCAGGGGCCCGGCCGCTCCCCCTGTTCCTAGGCCAATTAGGGCCGGGGGCAGAGGGAAGCACACAAAGTTTCCTCTGCACTGCAAAGAGCATGCGGCACTTCAAAGCGCTGTGTGCTCCTTGCAAGGTAAGGGTAGGGTGGAAAAAACTTTATGGGCTCCTTCTACCTCCAGGTCAATCAGGGGCTGGGGGCAGGAGGTGTGCACAAAGTTTCCTCCGCCCTACCCCTGCCTTGCGAGGAGCATGCAGCACTTAGAAGTGCCACGTGCTCCTGGCAGGGCGGGAGGAGACTTCATGCGCTCCCAGACCCTGAATGGCCTTGGGGGTGGGGGAGCACCGGAAGTCGCCTCCCACCACCAGGGGCATGGAGCTTAGTAAGAAGGGGAGGCAAAGGGGCTCCCCCATCCCCAGACCTATCATGGTCTGTAGGTGGGGAAGCCCAGAAGCATCCTGGCCCCGCCACATCTGTTTGAGGCCCCGCCCCAGGGGCCACCTCAAAAAAATTGTTCCCACCCCGATAACTGCTAAAAATGCTAGTGATTACATGCTGTGGGCTCTGCACTATTAAGTAAACTTTATATTGCAGCGTCTGCAGAAAAGCCTCCCCTGGAGCAGGGCTACCAGCCCCTGCCAATCCCTCCCCTCCCAAGGAAGCTTCACTGCGGCAGTGAAGCCACCTCCTGGGGCACAAAACCATAGGGTTGCCAGGTGTCTGGTATTGAACCACACAGTCCTCTATTTTCACCTCCTGTCTGGTAAAAAATTCAGAAAATACCGGACACCTAAAATGTCCGATACTTTCTGATTTTTTTCCCCCAGCCAGAAGGTGAAAATCCTGGGCTGTCCAGCTCAATACGAAGTCAGCCAGGCAACCCTAGTGATGACCGGGTTCCGTGTGGAGCTGTCCGGCCTGGCGCAGGGAGGCAAGACGGCAGGTGACCGCCTGTTAGGGCCAAAAAGCCTCATCACACGGTTTTTAAAGGGGCCACTTTTCTTTCTTTCTTTTTTTTTTTTTTTTTTTTTTTTGCTTAACTGGCGGGTTTTTTGTTGCTGCTGTTCAGTATTTTTTCTGAAACTACCTGGCAACCTACAAAACTGGTAAGTGCTGCCAGCCCTGCTCCTGGGGAAGAGGCTTTGCTGCTGCAGCCAGCAAAGGGTGCTGGCCCCTCCCAGGAGCCAGTGTGTAAACCTGCAGCGGAGATAGGGGACTAGCCAGGCCTGCAATTGACAGGGGCTCCTTTGACCAGCCGGAGCAGCCCCTGCTTGCAGTAGGCTCTGCAGGGCTGGAGCAGCTTCCCACCCACCCTAACTGGAACTGGTAAGCATTAACCATTTAGGCTTACCTGTTAACCTTTCACAACCCTAATGGCTGCCATGTTAAATTTCTTGTTCCTTTAAGTCATTAGTAGGGAATGTATGGCCTTCAAGCCAGATCTGGCGCCTGGCTTAATTTAATACAGCCTGCAGCCAATCTCTGCCACGAGCCAGAAGCCTGCAGGCTTGGTGCCCCTCCAGGTGGAGCTGGAGTGTGGCAAGTACCAAGTTGAGTGAGTGAGGCATATGTTTTGTTCTGGTTTTTTTTTTGTTTGTTTCTCACGTTGTTTCATTTTCCTGTGGGTCAGTGGCCCCAACGGAAAAAAAAATTCCCCATCCCTGCATAAGCCTTTTGTACTACAGACTAAGCAGCTTCCCAGAGAGTGATCAAAGATCTAATAGCTACATTTGTCTGGTTAACTATACTGCTTTTGCCTTACAACATTATCACTGAATCTGCTCTTTGATTTCCTTAAAGTCAATAAAAGATCAACCCTGGCAACTGTGGGGAATTTTTTAAAACTTCCAACAGCTGCCAGCACTAGCATTTCTCAGCCAGCGTTACTAATGTTGGAAGCCTCAATACTGATATTCATTTTTAAATGAAGTAAATTTAAAGATGTTAAAATGCGATTATCTGGCTAATTGTAGAGTTGATACAGTTTGTATCGACTATACAATTAGGCAATAAGTGCTGCTATGCAGAGTTGCAGCGGGGGTAGCTCTAGGAGCTGACTCCAGCCAGAAATGAACAGTCCTGGCTCATGCAGGCTCCAGAGCCACCCATGCTGTGGCTGTGCATTTTAAATGTAATAAGAGCTGCTGGGCTCATTTAAAATGAAGAGGTGAAATGATCAGCGTGACCCAGGATTGCTCAGTCTCAGTTCGTGCTGAGTCCAGCAGCCACTCTTCACAGCAGACAGCACTGGCTGCCACGAACAGGGGCCAGCTCCCTGCCTCTGATAGAGGCAGGCAGCCCTTCGGAGACAGGGCTGGGGGGGAACTGGCTTTTAAGCCAGCTCTCCCCCAGTGCTGGCTCTTGTCCCCCCCACTTGGTGCCTCTCAGAGAGGCAGTGGGGGTGGGAGGTGCCACAGAGAGCACACTGCGAGCAGGGATTATTTGACTCCCCGCTTCCCCCATGCTGCCTGCGGCACTTCTGATTTTGAAATATTCAAGAACCCCGGAAGGCTCTTTGTACATTTCAAAAGCAGAAGTACCCACAGTGGGAACGGCGAGAGCGGGCACTGAAGCAGTCTCTGCTCATGCTGTTTTCCCCACTGTGCCTCCGCTTAGAGCCGATTCCCCCCAGCACCGCCTCCTGCTCCGCTCCCCCCCACACTTGCTACTACTCTCTGATAGAGGCAGCGGGGGGGAGGAAGGGGAGAGGAGGACGAGTTGAGTTGCTAATTGACTATCCAACAGTATTTGCTTATCCGATAGTCGATTAGTCACAAACATGCCTAAGTCAATTAGACCTCTCCTGAGCAGGGTTACCTAATATATGTAGTGTTGAAAGTGACTGTGGGAGCAAATGACATCTCTCCATTAGAGTTCCCAACATTACTAATGTTGGTAAAGCTGAAGCAGAGATAGCAATCATAGACAATATTCCAAGTTTCCCCTAGTGTAGTCAAGTCTTCAGAGAAGAATCCTCTGCTGTCCTCCCCAAAGGATACAAATGTAAGGATGAAACAGGTCTCATGAACTTCAAAGGGTCTAGGATTTGCTTAGGAGAACACTTCAGAGCAATTAAATGTAGCCCATAGTCAGTTTGGCCTCTAGCTACGATGTTTTTAGAAGCCCAGAATGACTATTTCACAAGACAAATGTTGTTCTCCTACCATCACCATCAGGATCCACAGCTCGGAAGTGCATTTTGTTCTCTTCCACAGCTTCCTGGAAATGCTCTTCTGTCTTTTCCATGATCCAACGCTGCATCTCCTTCGCACTTATTCTTTTGTCCCTATTAATATCTACCCTAGAGGGGAAGATATGAGATCACTTAAAAGTCCAAAAATACCACAGAACACTAGACATGCCTCTTCACTGCCCACTAACAAGCACAGACGACAGAAATGAGGTGGTGAAGTTTAATTACAGAAAAAAAGTAAATTGCTCACTACTTGAGTAATGAAGTAATGCCAAACAATGGAATGAAAAGCAAATATTTCAGAGACAGTTACAAAGTTACTTGGGTAATTAAAAATGGCTCAACATGAAATCTGAATAAATGAGTGGGCAGAGTAAGACAAACTCCCTTAAAAGGATCAGTTATTTGCACTTTCAGACTGTTTAACTGTTCAGCACAGACATGTTCCAAGTACACCACATGGCTTTCCTTGAGTTACAGCACCCTTTCTGCTCTTCTCAAGCGAAGAAATAATATTAGTGGGACTGCCCAGTGCCCACTGAAGTAAGATGCTTGATTACCATTCATTATCCTGTAAGTTGGTTATTTCCAACATCTACTCATTTTTTAAAAACTGCAACTTGTTTTCTTAAATAAAGAAAGCACAGACAATAGTACGTTGCACAGTCCACACTATATTAACTCTAGTTTTCCTGAACTTAAGGCTTAATTATTGTTTCTGATTTTTCAGTTTGCTTGCTATTGCAGCCTTTCATGACTGTATATAACTCATCATTTCTTCCTTCCACCTGTTTGGCTTTCAGGATCTAGCACTTCTCCCTTTCCTGCTTTGTCGTCCAATGATTATTTTACCCCATGATCTGTGAAAGGGGCCATTGTTTCTACATATTTAAAGGATGGTTGACTGAAAAGCAATCTTACAAAAACTAAAACTGAGATAATGGACACCTGCTCCCCATCCTGCCCGTCATATCTCTTTCTCTTTTCTCGGACAAAGACAAGATATTTTATGTTCAGAACCATAACCTATACATTCTATCTCAATGATCAAATTGCAAGGTATGTGCCAACTTTGGCAATGATGGATAAGAGAACAAGAAGTTTACTCATATTTTAGAGAACAGATGAGTCTACACCATTGGCAGTTCAATCATATTTCAGTTGAACAAATTTAATATGAATATCATGAAATAAGAATACATATGATCACCCAAATGTCATGTTTAGAGTCCCTTTTCTGAACATCACATCAAGTGAGCAAAAATAGAAGAGTCATTTTGCTGACATTTAAGAACTGATTTAAAGTATACCAAAACCACCCATGTTAAAATTTTTAAGAGCAGTATTCAGACACAAGCTTCACTTCATCTTTCGATCTGTTTGCATCACTCTCTCAAGACGTCTGAAATTTTACCATTGAAACTTAGATTAAATATGTTCCTCCACCTTTAAATGTCAACTCAAATGTTAGCTTTAGAACAATCAAAACATCTTATCTTTTTTAAATGTTCACTGTATTAAAAAGTGCAACATTAACGTTTTTAAGTACTGGACTGAGTTTTCACAATGTAAGTACATGCACACATTAATAGATGCTGTGGCAAGCAGTGATCTACAGCACACCTAGTAAAATATGTTTATTGTACATGTACGTGCTTTATAGTTAAGTTTTCTGAGTAATTAGCACATTGTGATATTTTGGGACTGAATAAGTAACATAACTTTGACATTTCTCACTTGCTTTAGAAAGACCAAATCAGATGAGAAGCCTCTAGTCAATTCACATGACCTCTATTCGCTACAGAAATGTAATAATGGTTCCCAAATAAGATTGTCCATGTAGTGATTGTAAATGGACCAGTAACCCATTCCTCAGTCCTCAATATGGTATTGCTCTTCTTCACCACTGTGGTTCCCAAGAATCATCCAGATGCATTGATATAATGAATTTGGGATGAGCAGTGGTAAGGCTGGCCATGTTCCTTTATGGATGTCAAAAGCATATTTTTTAAAGTAAACAGTGCATTTACAACTCTATAGAACAAGACCTAGTCCTTGCTCTAAGCTTATAATCTAAGGGTACGTCTAGACTACATGCCTCTGTCGCCAGAGGCATGTAGATTAGGCTACCAGACATAGGAAAATGAAGCGGCGATTTAAATAATCACTGCTTCATTTACATTTACATGGCTGCCGCTGATCAGCTGTTTGTCGGCTCAGCGCGGCAGCCATGTAAATGTAAATGAAGCGGCGATTATTTTAATTGCTGCTTCATTTTCCTATGTCTAGTAAACTCATCAAATAATAGCGTGTATAGATATCTTATTTAGGTAGCAGATTTACGTAAATCTGTACAAACAATGCTGACAAATGAAGCTAGTACAGTCTACAATTCATGAATATTTAAATAATAATATGGAAAGTTTTGCTCAAAGTTCTAAGACAGCAGATTGTTCAGCGAAAGGAGAATAAAAAAAAAACCTAGAAATTTATTTACAGTTAAATTGATATAGAAGAGTTGGATAGACAACTTTTTACAATTTCTAGAAGTAGCATGTGTAGCACAGATCATGAAAAATAGGACACAGCTATTGAGGTAGGTAAGGTTTTTAACTAAACAATCCATCAAATCTAAAAAAATCTAACTTGATAACAACAAGCAAGCTAACATGTTCCATGAGCTTCATTCCACTTTTAGTATAATTTAGTGGTTCTCAAACTGCAGTTTGGTGACTACTAGTGATCTGCAGCCTGAGCTCAGCCCCCACCCCTATTTCCCCAGAGCAGGGAGCCTGTGCTGGTGCTCCAGCCTCACCCTCCCTCCCCTGCGAGGTTGGAGCACCAGTGCCAGCTTCTTGCTGGGTGGAAGAGGGAGGGTGTAGGGAGGGGAGGGGGTTAGGGGCCCCAAGCCTTGTTGTGCAATCTGTCTCATGGAGAAGCGCTCCCCCTCCCTCAGCCAGTGGGAGCAGCGGGAGACCATGTTACACGGTGCCTTAGACCAGTGTGGGGCGCGAAGTCAAGTAAGTGCTCTCCCATGTCTAGCTCCCTCCTGTACCCTCCTCCCCCCTCTGAGATCCCGTACCCCCAGCCTGCTCCTGCACCCTCTGCTCTGGCCAGACACCCTACTCCCAGCCTGCTCCTCCACCGTCCCTCCCAGCCAGACATCCTACCCTCAGCTCACTCCTCCACCCTTCCCTTCCTGGCCATATACTGCACCTTCCCTTGCTCTTATCCCCTCCCCCGGTGAGATACTCTACCTCCCATCCAGACCTCACAACTTCAGCCCCTCCTGCATCCTACCTCTTGCCCAGATCCTGCACCCTCATCCCTCTCACTGGCAGCCCTTTCCTGCTCACCGAAACCCTCATTTTTGTCCCAACCCCAGAAGGTCCACAAAATCCCTAACCCTGGAACCCCAGAAGAGGTAATCTGGCCTATGGGAAGCCCTGAATCTCAATCCTCCCTGTTCCTCCCCATCCCTGAGTAGAACTAGAGTGCCAGGGAAGTGAAGAATCTCAGTTGGGGGCCACATCCATGAGGTTTGGGGATTTTTGGAGGGGGGGAAGATGGTATGGTCCCCAACTGATTTTTCTGTGGGTCAGTAGCCCCGATCCCAAAAAGGGTTTCCCACCCCAGCCATAAGTAAAGAAAATATGGGAACATTTTGTTTTGGACATAAATTAATATTTTACTTTATTTAAAATTAAGTTTGATAAACTAACATGAGAAAGTTAAAGTGCTTAATCTATTTAATTATTTAAATTAATATTTCCTTTCTTACTGGTAAATTAAACTGTTCTCCCTAGTTGCAGCACTAGCAAAATGGCTCGGGTGTAATTAACAGTGAGTTTACATTCGTAACTGGTGGTCACCAGAAAGGTTTGCATTGAACTAAGTGGGGCCATGGGCCAAAAAGTTTGAGAACCACTGGTATAATTGTCAACATCTACCACTGCTATGGACAGTCTCATCTGCCTTCCCTTGCATAAAGGATAAGTGATGGTATTCTAAGTGAAAACTGTACTTTGGTATACTAGAATTACTTCAACATTATTCCCAAACTATGCTCCTTTTCATTAGTATATCAAAACACTCCTTTGCGTTTGGCAATCCGCCAACATAATCACTGCACTACTATTCTGCATGACAAAAATAATATCAAATGCCAGGTTTAAAGCATCACTGGCATTCAGCCTTTACTCTTTTAGTGCTTGGAAGAACCCCATTTGCTCTGCCTCGAAAAGGATCTAGCTCAGGTGTTTCACAGGAGAAAGAGAAAACCTGACCCCTACACTAAAAGCAAACAGGATGAAAGTGCTCTGGCTAGTCACCTCATGAACAATTTGTCAAGGATTTGCACTCAATTGCCAACTGTGTGTGCATATAAATGGGCAGGAAATATTAGCAAAATTTGAGCAGCTAGAAGCTAAATACTCATTTTTCAGACACACACGTAGTGGGAGGTCCATTACCACAAAGACATCCTGACTGGAAACCACATGTACTACAATAATGAAATGGAATTATTAAATTCAAACAGATTTAGTTTTTAATTAACCAAGAAATCCCACCCTTCACAACTGAGATTTGTGGTTTCAATTTTAGCAGTCTAGTCTATGACAGCAGTTCTCTTAACTGTGGGTCGGGACCCCATTTTAATGGGGCTGCCTGGGCTGGCTTTAGGCTTGCTGGGGTCTGGTCCAAAAGCCAAATTCAAAGCCCAAGACCCACCACCTGATGTCAAAGTTACTGGATCATCCCCGATGTTAAAGTTGGAGGGTGGGGTTCAGGTTGTAGGCCCCCAACCTGGGGCTGAAATCCATGGCTTTACACCCCTGCAACCAAGGTGATGGGGGTTGGGCTTTGGCCACTCCCTGCCCCTTAGGGTAGTGGGGTTCTGACAGGCTCATTTTTCAGTCCCTACTTCTGAGGGTCATGTAGTAATTTGTTGTTGTCAGAATTTTGAAAACCCTGGCCCTCTATAATAATTCATGGTATGGCCACATATTACATACTGCATATATCTTAACACACTTTTTGGCCCATCACGTGCAAAAATACTCACCTTCTCAAAGGAAATATTAAAAAATAACCAGATATGCATCACG